ACTGATGCTTTCTCAGGGAGGACCACTTACTGAGATAACGACGCTCACTTAATTGAACAAAATCCGCTTTGCTGGAACCCAAGACGCACCCATCACACGCCCACACAATCCTATTCCCCACAGTGTCGATACCTCACTAAAGAGACAATTCACCAAGTTCACTCTCCCTCTTACACTGGGAAAGATTAGGGCTCGGGGTGGTAGGGAAGTAGGGACTTACCAGGAGGAAGCAAGCAGAGTGAGAAGGCGAGCCGGCGAGGGTCCCCGTGGTAAGGCTTCTTGGGCTACACGAAATCTATATGTAACATGTAACACGTTATATAGTTGAGTGGCATGCACTGTCTCTGTATTGCAATTGTATTGAAACTGTTAAAACTGTCTTTACCCCCACCCCTCTTACTTTCTGTATCCCACAACATCCTTCTTCGATTCCTTCCTCCAAGGAATGAAAAAATCAGAGAAATAAAAATAAAAAATGTCAAATAAAAAAAAAAAAAAAGGAATTCAACAAAATTTATTCTTATGCTTTACCATGTATTTAGTTGAATAAAGGGCTGTAAAACAACCACATGTGGAGAGAGATCATATGCACCACCTTGTACAGATGCACCCACGTGGGAGCTAAACGTGTCTGACAGCACCTTGGGCTACACTAGCAGTATTTTGGTTCCCTTACAAACAGACAAAGTGATTTCATAGAAACCATTATAAAATAGATTAAAATAAACAGATATTTATGCTTTGTGAGAAGCCAATAATAGACACAGAACTTCAATATTACAAATAAAATTTAATCCATTTATTTTAGTTGTTTGTGTCATAGGATTTAACAGGTGTTATGGTACATAGTTGATGACCTCTTGGACTTTACTTTACATTGTCTTGTTATTTATAAAGAGATAGTCTAAGCAATATTACCACTACTACAAACTGTTTGGGATGAGTTTGACGAAAGACAAAGAGGACAATCATCAGTGAGTTTCATAACACAGGATTTACGTTTCAGGGTCATTACATTAGCAGAGTCCATAAATCGGCCAACCTGGATGGCATTGGCAGGGGTGATCTTTAGGTGTCATATTAGAGGTCTGATTCATCCCCCTAAACAATTTGACAATAACACATATATAGCAGCTATAGTCTCTTGGAAACACAATCACTTCAATGAGCTGTAATGGTTGCTTGTAAGGCCCTTTTAAGATATATGTTTGTTCCCTTTTTTCAACTTGAATGGTACACCCTAGATTATTGTAATACCAATTTTTCGAACCTTTGATCCATGCTATTTTGCATTTGCTGCCTACTAGCTGTTGTGAATTAGCACAGGGGATTTAAATAATTGTATTTTTAATCAATAGAGTTATCTATCAATTTACAATGGTAAACAAGGTAGCAGCTAGACTCATTACTGTTTTAAGTGAGGACAAGGATTGCAAATGTGAAAGGAGGGGAGTAAAGATAATACGGACCGTGTAAGCAATGCACAAACAAAATAAGACTCTTAATAAATGCTGCGTGCCGTCCTGGAGAATACTGTATTATTTCAAGGTAAATTAGCTTTTATATCTTTGATGCTTGGTTTCTTTAAATCAGAGTAATTAGAATCTTAATTACAGTACAAAGTCATTTAATTAGCTACAACTAAATGATTCAATATTTCTAATTGAACATGCACTAAAATATAGGCTCAACACACATGTGTGAGAAAGTATTGACTTAGGCTTTTAATTAACAAGGAATGTATCACATGATAGCTAAACAAAGCCAGCGGTTGTATTTGCTAAACAGTGAGCCTACATGATTTCATAAGCAAATTAAAAAATAAATAAATGAAGTTACTAATCTGGCTAACTTTGTCTCTTTTTTTAACTTAGACATGAATTCAATAAAATTATAGGTACATTTGATGCAACATAACCATTGCGGCATGAATTAAAAAAAGGTAGCTTTCCATGGCACCAAGAGACGGTCCACCCCCCCTCCGCCATATTGATAATCGGGTTATTCTGCACTCATCTAGTCAATACCATCCAGGCTGAACAAAACTGACAATGATAAACCGCAATGTAAATTAGGCATTATGAAAGTGGACGCTGCAGGCACTGTAACCGCGTCATCACACTGAAGTAGTTATAGTGTCTGGAGCCCCTGTCCAGTTAGTATTACACCATTTTAATGCTTTAATGCTAAACAGCGCATCCCCTCTGTGTTGCTGAAGTAATGGGTGGCTGTGATTGGCTGAGAGTGTCAGCTGACCTCTTTCAGCCTATCAGAGTGCCCATTGCCGCCATGTAGTAGTATGGCTAGAACAAAGTGTGTAATCTCTGATTTAGCCATAAATTCAGTGGGGGTTGGGCTGTGAGCGTCAATATTGTTAAAATGCTCAAAGAAGGTTTATCACTGAATGGAGGAACAGTGCCAGAGGACTACAGGCACCATAACCAATTCAAAGAGATAAAAACGATTATAGTGCCTATGTCCCTTTAATGGTTTGACATAAAACCAGGGCCATAACCAAAGAGAGACACTTTAATTTTAGGAGTGTGAAGGGAGCGTGGCTACATTATTTACTAATAACAATCTATGTGATTACAATGAAATTTAGGAAAAGAACAATGTATCCTTTTTGCACAGTCTGATTTGTAAACACATTGATTGTTGTTTTAAGAAATAATCCAGGCATTGTAACCACTAACATTTGCTGGTGCCCTGATGCCCTGTTACCCTGCCCTGGTATCCCCCATTGTAAGGAATCAGGTAAAATTTTCATACAATAGAACATCAACTTTATGGATTCATAAATAAACGTCCATCAATGTGTCCTTTTCACAACATATTCAGAGTTACATTGTACAATCTCATGGAGATTTCACATCCTGCGCAGTATGTACTCAGTGGGGAACCTCGACGAGTTTAATTCCAGTGGTTATAGTTAGGAAACGGTTCTGCTAATGGTACTTTTTCAATATGAAATTGATATTACGGGCACTTGGCTGGAAACCATTTCCAAATAAAACCTTAGAAAAAGGTTGAAAAGCACAGAAGACGTGAAATGTACTGATCAGTACCACACACTGAGAGCTGAGGCTTGATTGGAGTACATGAGGTGAGACATTATCATTACAGAGTAAGATTTGTGATGTTTTGTATTTCAAATGGCTCCTTTAATGTTCCCTCAAATGACATGAAAAATGGAGTCATCTCCTTTACAAGGCAGTGTTCTGTAAAGCATTCTGCATCTCAGCTTGCAAATAAACACAGGAAGCATTTGATTTTCATTTACTACTTTTTAAATCTCTCTCCCAGGAGACCTGGAGGCATAACCTGTTGTATTAAACAGCTGTTGCTATAGAGTCTTAATAATGGAAGTTAGCAAGAGAAACCGAAATCTGTCTATTAGTGCTCACTGGTGCAAGTCCAGCAGTTGACTTGTAATTAAAAAGATGAAACAGGGCTAAGCAAACAATGCCAACGATAGTTACTAAAACAGACTATAATCCCAAGAAAGGTAATATACATTAAATGTGCAGCGGATATAAAAATTGGGCTCTGTTTACTAAAATAGGAATTGTAGGTGCGTGTCAAAGGAATTGGCAATTGCAGTGCAGAATAGTTGGATTAGGCCTCGATTTAATATTTTTATATAAGCTTTTTGAATTATTTCATATTTTATGAATATTTTAATACTTTTATGTATTTTGATGTATTGATTTGTTCTTATATAACATATTTCGCGATATTTTAATATTTAAAAAAGAATGTATTAAAAAATGTATCCAAAAATATGAAATCATTTTGCGACAGAACAATGTTTCTGTTGCTGGTCTGTCATCGTGTCAGGTCTATGTTGTCCCTTGTTTTGCCAAAGATGCTGTAACCATGTCTTCACACATTGCTTTATGTACAAAGTATCATTCTAGAGCTAAACCAGACTAACATTTTGTCACATTAACCCCTTAAGGACCAAACTTCTGGAATAAAAGGGAATCATGACATGTCAGACATGTCATGTGTCCTTAAGGGGTTAAATGGGTCAGGGACCATGGTTGATAGTTTACCCCCTGTAGTGCAGGCACATCCTCTGGACACAATTAGGAAGAAAGGGAGGGGTCTGATAAATAGATTAATTGTTCCCCCTCCCGGCAGTCTGAAACTACTAGTATCTGATGTCTTATGGTAACTAAAGTTTTAATAACATTAGCTGTTCAGGTTAGCGAAAGAATCCCATGGACGATAACGTGCCCGAACGCCTACACCTTCCGTAGCAGAGACGCCAGGGTCGTATAAGCACACATTTGAAAATCTTATTCAAAAATATTCAATCAAAGCCTTAAACATTTAGCTGAGTTGGAGAATGTTTTCAATTCAACTGGTTTGGCCTAAATTTTGCAGTTCTCTTGTCAGTTGTCTATAATTCAAAGTTTACTGAATAACTATGTGCTATGTGTGTTATTTTGTCTTTATCTCTTGTGCTGCTTCTATGATGTTTGTAAACAGGGTGCAGCTTTACAGGATAAACACCATTTGCCAGGAAAAACAAACATTGGAAATTACCTATAACATGTGTTAACGTGTTTCATATGATGCTCAGATTTCTTTAAAAAGTACGTATTAAAAATATTTTAACATTATATCCCAAACCGGTTCTGTTCTGCGATAGCGACGGCACAAACTGCAATGTTCTGGTTCACCTTTCCTCTCTATGTTCACTCTATGCTGATTGACAGGGGCTAATGGCACAGCTTATAACAATGATTGACAGGGAACTACAAAAATGTTCATCATTGCTTTCTGACAGATACAAAACAAGAACACCTTTATCAGTATCCCAGGCTCATGAAAATATAGCTTCCCTTACTATATTAGTATATTTACCACTTAGTAGAAAGACCGCAGCAATAATCCAATAGCTATGGGTCTTTATCCAGACATGAAATATATATCTTAAATATGATAGCTTTAGGATTTCTTTTCACTTATTCATCATAAATTATGATGTCTTTTTTTTTCCAATTTGTATTTTATTGAAAGAATTTCGGGTTAGGGTACAGAAAGGAAGAGGGGAGGGGAGGGGGGGACATTCAAGTACACTTTTCTTTCAGGTTGTCTGGTTGAACATATTATGTTAGCATATATACATACATGTTCTTAGGTACCAAAATACAGAGGTATAAAGGTGCAGTTAGTTACATTGTTTTACATTGTTATGCAATACATTGTTTTACATTGTTGTGCAATACAGTCTTTTGACTCCTGATTATTTTTGTGCTATTTTTTGTTATGTTATGTTTTGCCCTATTCTGTTGTCTTGTGTTATATTGGTGGCCGGTGGACAAGCCTAGAATGTTCTGACTATCAATAGACTATAATCATTGGTATCAATCTATAGTGCTACTCGAGGTCTTGTCTGTGGTCCCCTTAAGAGCTACCCAGTCTGTCCACCTTTGCCAGTTAAGTAGTGTGGTAGAAACCTGTTTGGGAGTGTTAGCCATGAGCAAGTCATATCGGAGGTATTGTCTAATTTTGTGTTGTAGCATTGTGGTGGTGGGGCATTCTGTTTTTTTCCAGTGGCACGCAATGAGGTTGCGGGTTGCCAGGATCATTATCACTGTTAAGTGTTTGTCCGTGTAAGGTATGGAACTGGGGAATTGGAGAAAAAGAGCCAGTTGGGGCGTGAGTGGCAGTTGATTCATTCCCAAATCTTGCCATGTCTTGTGGACTTCCGTCCATAGGGGTGTAATATTCGGGCAATTCCACCATATATGGGTCATTGTGCCTCGGTCTGTCTCACATCTCCAGCAGTCCGCCGAGGTGTGGGGATAAATTCTGTGAAGTTTGTCAGGTGTGTAGTACCACCTGTAGATTAGTTTTTTATGTGCTTCGACATGTGAGTAGCATGTAGTGATTCCTTTCAGGGCTTGTAGCGATTCTGTCCATTGCTTGTCCGTGAAGGACATTGTGCATTCTTTTTCCCATTGTGGTCGGTATTTGAACTCTGGGTTTGGTACCTGATTTCTTAGTGCTGTGTAGCTCAGTGAGAGCATCTTAGGTCTGATCAGTGATTTGTGGCACCTATCGTACAGTAATAGTAAGTCATGGTCTGAGGTGTATGTGTGTGATGTTGGAGGTGCTACCATATTAGCAATTAAGCTTTTTAGTTGGAGATACAGGAAGATATAGGATGGTGGTAGCTTATATCTTTTTTGAAGTTCTGGGAAGGGTAATATAGCCCCCTGGTGACATATATCGATAATACGGGTTACCCCAAGTTCCCTCCATTTGTCTAGGGACAGCCATGGTGATACAGATGTTAGAGCCGTGATGGGAGCCCAAGGTGAGAACTTGCTCTCTGTTCTATGTGCATGGTGTAGGAGATCCCAAGTCTGTATCAGATGTTTGGTAAGAGGTAATAATTCCCTGCGTTTGTCCCGTAGTTGTTTAGGCGTCCACATGTGATTTACCGCTGAGCCTGTGGGGTCATATTTGTTTTCGAGATCAACCCATTGTAGTGTGTGGGTTGGGGCGTGTAGTTTTATTGCATTTTCGAGAACCGCTGCTCTGTGGTAGGTTGCTATGCTAGGAAATCCCAGTCCGCCTTCTTTGTTGGGCGTTTGTATAAGAAGTAGTGGTATTCTGGGTTTCTTGTTCTCCCATATGTAGTTTTTATTATCGTTTGAATTTGTTTGCTTAGTGTGGGGGAGAGGGGTATTGGGAGCATTCTGAACACATAGAGCAATTTTGGGAGTACTATCATTTTCACGTCATTGATCCTGCCCAGCCATGATAGCATGACATCTTTCCACTTGTGCAGGGTCTGTTTGCACATGTGTGGGAGTGTGGAAAGGTTTAAGGTGTTAAGTCCTCTATACGTGGCGGCTATTTTTACCCCGAGGTATGTTGCGTGTGTCTGTCTCCCGTCAAACGAGTACTGATTTTTTAGTGTTTGTACATGTGTTGCAGGAAGACGTATGGGAAGTGCTTGGGTTTTGGCCTGATTCAGTTTGTAATAAGAAATTTTGCTGTATTCTTCCAAGGTGTTCATGAGGTGCGGCAAGGAGTGCTCTGGTCTTGTTAAGGAGATAAGGACATCGTCCGTGAACATGGACAATTTGTAGTCTGCATGTTTTATGGGGATTCCCGTGATGTCTGTATGGGCTCTAATTTTGTAGGCCAGAGGTTCAAGTGATAATATAAATAATAGGGGTGAGAGTGGGCAGCCTTGGCGAGTGCCGTTGGTGATGTGGAAGGGGTTCGATATGAATCCTGTGTTGGTGACTTTGGCAGATGGTTTTGAATATAGTGCCATTATGCCTCTTATGAATGTTCTAGGGAAACCAAACTTGAGGAGTACTTGTTCCATGTATTCCCAGTTTAGCCTATCAAAGGCCTTCTCCGCGTCTAGTGCTAGAAGAAGGCCCTCTGTTCTGTGTGTCTCCACGTGGGCTAGAATATTTAGGATCTTCCTCGTGTTATCCGACCCTTGTCTGTTTTTGATGAAGCCTGATTGATCATTATGTACTATGCGGGTCAGTATATTTTTAAGGCGGTTAGCTAAAATCTTTGCATACATTTTTGTATCACTATTGAGTAGAGAGATGGGTCTGAAATTCTGGCAGACCGTCGCCAGTTTGCCTGGTTTCGGGAGTGTTGATATGTCTACTTTGACACATACTACATACCTAGAGATTGCAGCAGATCATGTTCACCCTTAATAGCAACTGTGTTCCCTGATTGCAGTGGCCCCTTTCAGCATGATAATGCACCCTGCCATTGTGCAAAAATTTAGGCATGTGCATGGGGAAAATTTTTGGTTTGGTTCAGCATTACGAAATTCGGGAATTTGGCATTTCGGAATTTTGGGACTTCGGCACTTAGGGACTTCTCTTGCAGCCGCTTAGTAGATAACTCCCTAATTCCCACGGTATTAGGGAGTTATCTACCAAAAGGCTGAAAGACCTAAATTGGTCTTCAGACAAATTTACTAATACTAAGTAAAAATTACTTAGTATTAGTAAATTTTGCCCCTACTCGTGGTATAGCATGTCTATTAAACAGCACAGGCTGATCCCTGTAAAAAAAAAAAAAAGGATCCACCCTCCAGAATAAAGGGGGGACCTATCGCCCCCCCTCGCCGGCCCTCACCCCTGAGCTGCAGGTGGGGGCCCTAAAGTAAAATGATGGGGGGGACCTATTGTCCTCCCCCCACCCCTGAGCGGCGGGTGGGGTCCCAAAATTAGAATAAGGGGGGATCTTGTCCTGCCCCCTGGCCCCCACCCAAGAGCGGCAGGTGGGGGCCCTAAATAAAAAAATAACCCCCCCTCCCCAGATGACTATGGGTCCCCAAACCCCTAGTCACCCCCTGCCCCCAAAAAGTTAACCCCTACCTACCCCCCTCACCCTAAAAATAATGAGGGGGGAACCTTTAACTAAGTATCCGTAAAAAAAATAATAAAATAAAACTTACCATTTAATGTTTTCTTTCTTCTAAAATCTTATTTTTTCAGTCCCCAGAAAGGCCAAATAAAAAGCCATAATAACCAATGCACTTTGAAAAAAAAAAAAAAAACATCTTCACCCATGGAGGGTTCCGCACAGACTGAGCTCTGCAGGGCGGGGGAAGGCTAATAAAGCCTTCCCCCGCCCTGCAATTAGTCTCAGAGAACTCTGATTGGTGGGTTTAAGCCAACCAATCAGAGTGCTCTGACAGGTAAATGAAGAGTCTCTACATTTACCTGTCACAGCACTCTAATTGGTTGGCTTGAAATCCACCAATCAGAGTGCTCTGTGTCATTTTACATAGCGTGGGAAAGTTCTTTGGAATTTTCCCACGCTGTGTAATTTGACTCATAACACTCTGATTGGTGGATTAAGTAACATTAGGTCCCCCCCTTATTAGTATTTAGGGGCCCCACCCACTGTTTAAGGGTGGGGGCCAGGGAGGAGGACATTAGGTCCCCCCTTATTCTAATTTAGGGCCCCCACCCACTGCACAGGGTTGGGGGACAGGGGAAGGACATTAGGTTCCCCCCCTTATTAGTATTAAGGGCCCCCACCACCTCTCAGGGGTGGGGGTCGGGGGAGGACATTAGGTCCCCCCCTATTCTAATTTAGGGCCCCCACCCACCGCTCAGGGGCGGGGGCCAGGGGGGAGGACATTAGGTCCCCCCCTTATTAGTATTTAGGGCCCCCACCCACCGCTCAGGGGTGGGGACCAGGAGGGAGGACATAAGGCCCCCCTTATTCTGATTTAGGGTCCCCACCCACCGCTCAGGCATATAGGTCCCCCCATCATTTTACTTTAGGGCCCCCACCTGCTGCTCAGGGGTGGGGGACAGGGGGGCAATGGGTCCCCCCTTATTCTAATTTAGGGCCCCCACCCATCACTCAGGGGTGGGGGACAGGGGGGAGAACATTAGGTCCCCCCTTATTAGTATTTAGGGCCCCCACCCACCGCTCAGGGGTGGGGGCTGGGCGGAGGACATTAGGTCCCCCCTTATTCTAATTTAGGGCCCCAACCCACCGCTCAGGGGTGGGGGCCAGGGGGGAGGACATTAGGTCCCCCCCCTTATTAGTATATAGGGCACCCACCCACCGCTCAGGGGTGGGGGCCAGGGGGGAGGACAGTAGATCCCCCCCTTATTCTAATTTAGGGCCCCCACTCAGGCATGGGGGCCGGGGGAGGACAATAGGTCCCCCCCATCATTTTACTTTAGGGCCCCCACCCGCCGCTCAGGAGTGGAGGCCAGGGGAGAGGACATTAGGTCCCCCCCCTTATTCTAATTTAGGGCCCCCACCCACCGCTCAGGGGTGGGGGCCAGGGGGGAGGACATTAAGTTCCCCCCCTTATTCTGATTTAGGGCCCCCATTCGTCGCTCAGGGGTGGGGGCTGGGGGGAGGACAATAGATACCCCTTCCATTAGTCTGATTTAGGGCTCCCATCCGCCGTTCAGGCAATTCGGCATTTCATCTATTCGGACATTCGTAAGTACCCGAATGTCAGAATTTCCTGAAATTCGTCCGAATTCACATTCACATTCCAGGAGGTGGGAGGATCTGGGAGGGAGGGTCTGCTGCTGATTTGCTGGAATGTGTCTGCTGACTGTGAGGTACAGGGTCAAAGTTTACTCAATGATGACGAATAGGGGGTGGACCGAACAGCGCATATGTTCGCCATCCGTGGCGAACCGTTAGGGACATCACTATTTGGCAACTTACCTGGGTCTCCCAAAGGAGAAGACAGATAGCTCTTTTAAGCTATGAACAACAGACACAGGACCACTCTAATTGGTTATAGAAGACTCCAGGAAGCAGGAGCTGTGGCCGTGTGTGCCTGACGAGACACGGGAAGTTGTCAAACCATTCTAAATCCATTTAAAAAATTAAACTGGTACAGCGCCATGGCACCATAACTAGTACAGCAAGCTATATTGGCTTAATGCTTTGAGTGTTCCTGTAATAAAAGCATGGCTGTACAACTGTACCATTGCTGAATAAGTATAGGATTCCAAATTTCCATAAGGCTTTAACGGAAAAAAATCATCTCGATGTGGGCAATCAAAGTATTTTAGTCCTACTAATACTATTTTACAACAATATATTCAAAATTGCTGGAAAACAAACATGATATTCTTATAATTCTTTATAATTTGAGCCAGATGTTCAAGTCAATCAGAGGAGCATCCTGGGAAACAAAGATTTTAAAAACCTGGGGTGTTGTGGTTAGTCATCACAGACGTGGATATTTCCAAACATAGATTTAATAGATGAACAGATCCTTCTCTAACACTGCATACACATCATCGAGAAGTATTTACAGTCTTCCGGAATTATAGATAATGGTTGATCTGTCAGCTTCTGTAACTTTGTAGTTATTTTTTAGCAAATTTTGATAAATGTGCAACTTATTAACATAAAGTAAAAGTCTGTATCTGTATTTCATAGTATGTTTTCTTATGTTTTATCTGTTCACTATTTTATTTAGCTGTATTACCTAATAAGGTGAATCCAACCAAAAAGTTGAGTATTAAAATATCCTATCCTGCTACACCACAACCCAACATGAAAAAAAATTAAAAATGAAACCGAGGCCAAGTACTTCCCTCAACCCAATACTGTTCTGCTGATGTCACTCCTCCTAGCTGGAAGAGGAGGGATGTGTAAGGCTGAGGAGCTGACATGGGTGATTTGGGGGGGCGGGGAGGGGGGATAGGCCACCAATGGATGACAGTCCACATCATGCTGTGTGTTCTGACATCAGAAGTCCAATACTGACTGAAGTTCAATCTCATTGAGCATGGCCCTCCACCTCTCTGTTCCTGTACGTCCAGTTGTCTGGTTACAATTACATGTCTGTTAGTCCACCCAATGTACAGCGCTACGGAATCTGATGATGATATATAAATAATAAAATAATAGTAATAATAATACTGACATAAGACAGCCTGGAACTTTTCTTGTGAATAGCTAATGACACCTCGGCATTTCCTATGCTGAAAAA